GGGACAGAGTATGGGGGGGGGGGGGCTGTCTCCGTTGCTGGTATCTGGGCAAAGTGACTTCTTCCCAAATCACTCCCTTCAGGAAAAAAAAAAGAGTTTCGCTTCCCCCCCATCAAGGAAACAGTTGGGGAGGAGCCAGTTGACATCACCCCTTATCTTGACCAGTTGGATGAGTCCCTAAGGGACAAGGTTCTCCAGCTACAGAAAGGCAGGTAGGTGCACCCGCTGCTCTCAGCCCCCGGACGTCCAGCCCGGGCTCTCCCCCTGGGGCTTAATGGGTGGCAGGATGGTGGGGTTGCGGGGGACGTGGTAGGTGTATGGGGAGGTAGTTGAAGCTGCATGAGGGATGCCTTCTGCAGTTAATGTTGGCGTGTAGGACTGGGTGTGGCAGCCTCATTTCCCAGCATCCCGGGTTCTCCTCACCCCATATGTTCTGAGGCTTTGAATTTCGAAGCAGGATTGTGGGGCTTTCACTTCAGAATGGGCCTCTGCCCAGAGAGCAGCAAATTCTACCCCGATCCTCCCACACAAGCACAGGGTCACACAGAGCTCCTTTGTCTTGTCTTGTCTCTGTGGGGAGAGCGTGCGTGCTGGTGGGTGTGTGTCCTGCCCTCCGCTATCGCTTACGTCCCTGAGATTTCCTCTCGCTTCTGCACTGCAGCGATACCGAGGCCCAGTGTGAGGTCATGCAGGAAATTGTGGACCAGGTCCTGGAGGTAAGAAACCCATCGCCTGAGGGAGGAAGCAGCCCAGCCTGCCCAGCTTCAGGCGCCCTCCTCCTCCCGTCCTGTCCCCCCGTCCCCCCGTCCCCTCCCCCCCCCCAGCAGCTGACTCCCTCCTGCCCTTGCCCAGTGGGTCCCTTTTCTGGGGGTCCCTTTTTCTGGGGGGAGAGGCTGATGAGTCCGGGTAGTGGGGGCAGTAGGCTCGGGTCTGACGGTGATTTCCCCTCCCTTGTCTCACCACCAGGAAGACTTTGACTCGGAGCAGCTGTCCGTCCTTGCGTCCTGCCTACAGGAGCTCTTCAAGGCCCACTTCCGAGGGGAGGTGCTGCCCGAGGAGGTTACGGAGGAGTAAGGCTCATCTTTCTGACTTTTAGGAGCCAGAACTGTGCTCCAAGAGGCACCTTGCTGAGGGCTTGAGAAAAACCATCTGTTCTGATTCACGTGTACTGACTCATTTAAACTAGGATCCCCTTTTCCCTGCTGAAGGCCGAGCGTGCTGGGGCGGCGGACTAGCCGCCCACCCTGTGTGCCCTGCCCGGCTGCTGTACCCAGCAGCCCCCCTCCTTGCTACTTGAGGTGGGACCGGACCTTTCCTGGATCCTCCCTGAAGGGCGGGAATCTCACTTTCAGTGACGATGACAACCCAGATGTGGTCCCATGTGAGGAACCTGTTTTCTCTGTGACCAAGCCTCTGGAGCAGCAGGACACTGACTTTTAGTTAGGAAAGGAGGAGGCTGGCCTCTTGCCTCAAGCTGGTCCTCCCAAAACCTGCCTGCAGCCCGCCCTCCCCGCTTACATGGACTCTCACATCACCTTCCTCTCGTAGGTCCCTGGAGGAATCTGTGGGGAAGCCCCTCTACCTAATATTTAGGTAAGCATCCAGCGGTAGGAGACACTGCCCTGCCCTCCACCCTCCCCAGAGCGCACGTATGCTTCTGTCCCGGGGTAAGGGGACCCCTTTCCAGGAAGGAAGGGTCTGCAGTGGGGCAAGCAGACACGCCTCCCCAGGAGCCCGGGTGCAGCTCCGCTCCTCCCCCCGTCTCCCTCCAGGAACCTGTGCCAGATGCAGGAAGACAACAGCAGCTTCTCTCTGCTTCTGGACCTTCTCTCCGAGCTGTACCAGAGGCAGCCCAAGATCGGCTACCACCTGCTCTACTACCTGAGGGCCAGGTGGGCGTGGGCCCCACATTTAAGCAGGGGTCGGGGAGCATCCTGGAGCGCCTCTCTCCCACCCCGCGCGGATTCCCACCTGTCTGTCAGCGCCAGGGCCTTCCAGTGCGCTCTCTCTCTCTTTTTTAAATAACAGCTTTAAAGTGTACAATTCAGTAGTTTTTAGTAGAGTCACAAAGTTGTACAACTATTACTGCTGTCCAATCAGAACATGTTTATCAGCCTGAGAAGAAACCCGCATCCTTGGGCAGTCACTTTCCCTTCCTCCCTTTACCCAGCCCTGTCACCACTGGTTGGTTTCTGTCTATGGATTTATTTATTCTGGATATTTCATACACTAGCAAATGGAATCATACAATGTGTGGCTTCCGTGCCTGGCTTTTGTCACTTAGCGTGCTGTTCTAAGGTCTGTCCCCGTTGCAGCGTGTCAGCACTTCCTTCCTTTTCCGTGAGTGAATAATGCTCCACGTTTGTAATATCCATTCGCTCAGTGATGGACATTGCAGTTGTTTCTACTTCTTTGTCTTTGTGAACATTCATGTGCAGATTTGTGGGTGAGCATATGGTTTCGGTTTTCTTGGGTATACACCTAGGAATGGGTCAGATGGTAACTCTATTTTTAAGTTTGTGAGGAAGTGCTAAACTGTTTTTCCAAAGTGACTGCAACCATTTTACATTCCCCCAGCAATGTGTGAGAGTCTAAATTTTCTACATGTTCCCCCAGCACTTCTTACTGTTTGGCTTTTTGATTATGGCCATTGTAATGGGTGTGAAGTGGTATCTCACTGTGGTTTTTTTGTTTGCTTGCTTGTTTGTCTTTTATTGATTTTTTTTTAGAGAGAGAGGAAGGGAGAAGAATAGAGAGAGAGAAGGCATCGAAGAGAGAGAAACATTATTGATTGGCTGCCTCCTGCACGCCCTCTTGTGGGGATCGAGTCCGCAACCTGGCCATGTGCCCTGACCAGGAATTTAAGGGCGATTTCCTGGTTCCTGGGTCGACACTCAACCGCTGAGCTACACCAGCTGTCCAAATTCATTCCTCTTTTTTAATTGGGTTATTTGACCTCTTGCTGTTGATTTTTTAAAAATATATTTTATTGATTTTTCACAGAGAGGAAGGGAGAGAGACAGAGAGTTAGAAACATCGATGAGAGAGAAACATCGATCAGCTGCCTCCTGCACATCTCCCACTGGGGATGTGCCCGCAACCCAGGTACATGCCCTTGACCGGAATCGAACCCGGGACCTTTCAGTCCGCAGGCCGATGCTCTATCCACTGAGCCAAACCGGTTTCGGCTACTGTTGATTTTTAAGAGTTCTTTATATATTCTGAATGCAAGTTCCTTATCAAATATATGGTTTGCACATAGTTTCTCCCATTCTGTGGGTTATCTTTTCACTTTCTTTATGGCATCCTTTGAAACACAAAAGTTTTACATTTCGATGAGTCCAGTTTACTTTTTTTTGGTCACTTGTGCTTTTGATGTCATGATGATGTATGCTTCTGTATTTTCTAAGAAATATATATTTAGTTTTTACAGTTAGGCCTATAATCCATTCTGAGTTAAGGTTTGTATATGTTGTGAGGTAGGAGTTATTGTCCTCATTGCTCAGAGCCCAGAGAGCAGGAAGGAAAGGTTTCTTAGCCTGACCCGGGCCCTCTTTCCCCTGTTCTTGCCTGTCCCTGTTTAGTAGCCGACTAGCTGTGGCCCGAGCCCTGGTAGAGCACTGGGGAAAGGCGGGGAGAAGGAGCAGCGGCTCCCGGTTCCCATCAGTCATCCAACCCTTGGGAGGCAGGGGAGAGCCATGAACTAGATCAGCCCCAGGCACCTGGGTAGCAGAGGGGTTTCAGTGGCAGCCACCTCGGGGGATGCTTGAGGTTGGGCGCTGGGGCCAGGCTGCTGGCTAAGGCTCCACTGGTCCTGCAGCAAAGCCGCCGCAGGGAAGATGAACCTGTACGAGTCATTTGCCCAGGCCACCCAGCTGGGTGACCTGCACACCTGCTTAATGATGGACATGAAGGCCTGCCAGGAGGACGACGTGCGACTGCTGTGCCACCTCACACCCTCCATCTACACGGAGGTCAGTGCCTCCACCCGTATCCATGGGGGTGGGGCAGCAGCATTCCCTGTCTCATGGCACACAACCCTGACCCTCCTTACCCACCCCACTGGCCTTGGTGAGCCATTTCTCCCCACACCACAGCTGTCCCCTCCGTCCCCATCTTTATTAAAGATTTTAAAAGGTCTCAAAGCTCTCAAGTTTCTATGTGAGTTGGGATCTGGGCCTGTATACTTGGCTTCATGGCTTTGGCCCCATCTTCTGCACCCAGGACGGGCCCCCATCTAGGTCTACGTTCACAGATCTCAGCCCTCTTGCCAGCAGATGGCTCACCCTCAGAGTCTTTCTAATGGTTCCCAACGACCAGGACCTCTGGTGGAGACTCACTTTCATTTCCCGGCCCACGCGCAGTCTTCCCTGGAACTGGAACACAGGAGGCGTCAGCTCTTCCTCCTTTGGTGAAAGTTTGCAGGAATTGGGAAGTCAGGGCACAGGGTGTGGGCATGACAGGAGGAACTGTGATCTCAGCCAAAACCGGAGGGGGGGGTGCAGATGCGCGGCAGATGGCAGTTTCCTTCTCTGCTCCCTAACTGGTGAACTGGTTTCTCCAGAAGGGGTCCTGCCCACCCCGAAACCCTGAACACGCCCTGAACACCCACACACTCTACACCTTCTCTTCTTTGGCTGAGGATCAGAGTAGATTGGATTTCTTTGCTGCCAGCGATGCAAATGCCTATTTTGTCACCACACAGAACGAACCGTCGTGTCCAATCCTTTCTGCTCTAGCTTTGTCTCTGCATAGTTCCCATTCCTTCCCTTGTGCGCATGCACACACTGCCACACACAGAACACAGCCCGGCTCTCGGGTTAGGTTCCCAGCTTCGTAGCTGTTGGGTCTTTGTTTAGGGTTTTCTATTAGGACCCTGTGTCCGGCTCACCCAGCCCCATCCCCCGACCATGTGCCAAGGCAGGGGAATGGGGTGCGCCCTGGACTCCTGCCCTAGGGCCCCTCCTTCTCTCTCCAGTTTCCAGATGAGACCTTGCGGAGCGGGGAGCTCCTGAACATGATCGTGGCCGTCATTGACTCTGCACAGGTGAGCGAGTTGTCATCCTAAGAGTGTGGGAGGCAGGACTGCAAATCCGGGCTCTGCCTCCCCACCGGCCCGCAGACGGCGTCCGGCTGCTCCTGGCTGCCCTGTGTGCACCCCAGGGGTTCCCCTGCTTCATATTCTGTGGGCACTTCTGCTCCACAGGGAAAGCGAAGGGATTGGTTTTTGTTCTCAACTGGCCTTCCATGTACCTGACTCAGGATGGAAGGGTCACACGTTTCTGTTGGACCTTTGCACCACGCACACGTCCCCAAGAGGCTCTAGCTTTGCTTGTGTCCATTTTCGGGCTGAACTGGGGCCCCATTCCTGTTCCTCCTCTCCGTCCATAAAGGAGGGGGTTTAATACTCCAGACCCTTCCTTTGCTTTGCTATCCCCACACCTGTAATCCAGAGCTGGGTCCCCCATGGCCCTTCCCTCCTCGGTGCTGGCTGGGGTGGGCCAAGGCCCTGACTATGGCAGGTAGAGAAGTTGCCATTCTCTTGCCTCCGTGTGAGAGGTGGCTTCACTAAACTGTTCTTGCCCCCAGTGGGTCTGTGGTTACCACTCAGGCCTGTTGCTTCTTTCCCAGGCCCCTTTGTCCTTCAGAGACCCCAGCGTCCATTGTATGCCATTTCCTCCCTAAACCTGTAAAAACTAGGCTTTCACTTCCTCTGATTTCCCCGTATGGAGCCCTCTTGGTCCTCCTGCCATGCTAGCTTCCCGGCCTCTTTAAAACCAGTGGGTTATGGCTTCTCCTCCTCCTTAGCTCCAGGAGCTGGTCTGCCATGTGATGATGGGGAACCTGGTCATGTTTCGAAAAGACTCAGTCCTCAACATACTCAGTAAGTGAGCAGATTCGTTAGGAACCTGGGAGGAGAGGGGGTGGCAGCCTGTTTATAGGAACGGGAGGGCTGGTTGTGGGGCTGAGAATGGGACAGAACAGCATCCACCCCGCTCTGCGGTCTGGGGTCATGTCTCTGGATCTGCTCCTTGCTCTGTGAGATGGAAAGATGCCCTCTGGCTTCAGGGCTGACGGGGCTACAGAAGCTATCTGAATGATGGCTTTGGAAATACGCTTTTTGTGGAAAGGGAAAGTATCTGTCGGCTTAGGATTGGGGTGCTGGTTGTTAGGGGAAGAGAGAGAGAAAGAAGAAATGTCTCTTCACTGTCGCGCAGTCCAGAGCCTAGAGTGGGAAACCTTTGAACAGTACTGTGCCTGGCAGCTCTTCCTGGCCCACAACATACCCCTGGAAACCATCATCCCCATCTTGCAGCACCTCAAGTACAAGGGTGAGTAGGGATGTGGCAGGGAGCATGGTGATGGGACTCTCCTGGTCGGGCTGGGGCAAGGCTAAGGCCTCCAGACTCCAGATGAGCCCAGGCCCCTGCTCCCCTCCCACCGAAGCTCTTGCAGAAGGTCAGCCACTTCTGCTCTGAGCCGAGCCCTGCCCGCCCCTCTGAGCCAGGCGCTGGCTGGGCTCGGGCTGGACTCTTGCAGGGTCGGGGAGGACTCTTCTTCCTGCTCCCGAAGACTGTTTTTGCTCCTCCCAGCGCTGTTGGTTGGAGGAGGGGAGAGGTCCCGGATGTCTTCCTGGAATTGTGCCTTCCTCTGAATGGCCTCTACCCTTCCTCCACAGAGCACCCAGAGGCCCTGTCCTGCCTCCTGCTGCAGCTCCGGAGAGAGAAGTGAGTCCCACCTGGAGCTGAAGAGCCCCATCCGGCACAAGAGATGGTCCTGAATGGAGGGCTTTGGTCCTGCCTCTTGGCCATGTTTGTTCTGTTGTTGACATGGGCTGCTTCTGTCCTTTCCCCAAAGTGATTGACAAATCAGCAGCTCCGGGGACCTGGGCTTCCTCTGGACTTTCCCCCCTGCCCACCAGGAGCTGCCCTGGGGGTGGGGACCGGACATCCCTGTTTCCTGCTGCCACAGCAGTTCTAAATCCAGGAGCTGCTGCTCCCCTCCCCCAGGCCCTTGAGGCCACCCCTCGGCTAATCCAAGAGGAGGAAGGGTCAGAGCAGAGGGGTCACACACCACCTGCTTCCTTGACCTGCTGGTTCCCTGCTGGGGGGTGAGGCGGAGAGGCCCCGCCCCCATCACAGGCACTTTTTGTTGGTTGGTTTGTTAATCCTCACCCGAGGATATTTTTTCCATTGATTTTTTTGAGAGAGTAGAAGGGGGGAGGAGGAGGAGGAGGAGGAGAGAGAGAAACATTGATGTGAGACAGACACATCCATTGGTTGCCTCCCACATGTGCCCCAGCGGGGGCAGGAATCGTAGGCCCTTCAGTGCGCAGGCTGACACTCTAACCACTGAGCACACGAGCACGCCAGCCAGGGCCATCACAGGCACTTTTTAAAAAAATATATATTTTATTGATTTTTTACAGAGGGGAAGGGAGAGGGATAGAGAGTTAGAAACATCCATGAGAGAGAAACATCCATCAGCTGCCTCCTGCACCACCGCCCCCCCCCCCCCCCCCCACTGGGGATGTGCCCGCAACCAAGGTACATGGTACATGCCCCTGACCGGAATCGAACCTGGGACTCCTCAGTCCACAGGCCGACGCTCTAGCCACTGAGCCAAACTGGTCAGGGCCATCACAGGCACTTTTGCAACAGCTCCGTATACATGGCACAACAGCTGTGTGTCTGTTCCTTTGTACCTTCTTGTCTTTCCCTTTTCTCCTCTCTTGCCTGAGAGACTAGAAGTGGTACAAAGCGTCCTAAAGGAAGCGGGAAGGCAGGAGGACTGTGTGGGGACTGTGCCTTCCCAGCCCTCCCCCCGCGCCTTCCCTGGGCTGGGTACTAGTGTGGCTCACAGCCCCGGGACTGGGGGGGCGGGCAGTGCTCACACACCACATGTTGTCCTTTGCCTCCCTGGTCCATTTCCTGAATGTTTTGGGGAAAGGGGGGGACTTGGGGGCTTCCTTCCCCGCAGGACAACACGCACCTTCTACCACCACAGAAACTAAAGAATCTCACTTCTTGTCTCCTGGCTTCTGCAGAGGATGAAACCAGGCATTCCTTGGCCTAAAGAGAAGAGGGAGAGGGATGTGAGAGTAGGAAGCCACAGCAGGACTCGGGTGGGGCAGGGTGGGGAAGGCTGAGGTTTGGGAAATAAGTACATGGGAGAGATCTGGAGGTTCCTGCGGCCAGCTGTGTGAGCAGGGTGCCCACAGCCCCTCTCACGCCCCCAGGCCCAGCGAGGAGATGGTAAAGATGGTGCTGAGCCGGCCCTGCCACCCCGATGACCAGTTCACCACCAGCATCCTGCGACACTGGTGCATGAAGCACGATGAACTGCTGGCCGAGCACATCAAGTCCCTGCTCATCAAGAACAACAGCCTCCCACGCAAGAGGCAGAGGTGGGAGTGGGCCCTTCAGGACACACCAGGCCGAGCTGCTGCTGCCCACCCTCCATCCCAGGGCAGCCCCTGCTGCCCCTGCCTGGCTTGTGGGTGACACCTAGTGGTCCGAAGCTACACGGCACACAGGACCATGGTGGCCCCTTCCCCTTTCCCAGTGCCCTGTGGCTGGTCCCTATTCCAGCTCACCTCCCTGGTCCCAGCCCAGCCCTCTGGCCCCTCCCTGTGTGGGCTGTGTCTGTCTGCAGGGGTAACCCTGGTGGGAAGAGGGCCTTGCACTCCTGGAGCCCTCACTGGGAGCTCAGGTCTGGTTCCCGTGACTTCCTTGCAGCCTGAGGAGCTCCAGCAGCAAGCTGGCCCAGCTGACTCTGGAGCAGATCCTGGAGCACTTGGACAACCTGCGCCTCAACCTGACCAACACCAAGCAGAACTGTATGTGCCAGCCCTCCCGAGTCCAGCCTGCCCGCTGCTACCCTGGCTCAGACCGCCCTGGGCCGGGTGGGAGCAGGGCAGGAGAGAATCAACCCTGGGCACCGCTGGTTAAGCTCCCAGACCTCTGACTGTTCTTCCTCCCTGCTGTCCCTTCCCTCTCCCTCTAGTTTTTAGCCAGACTCCCATTCTCCAGGCGCTGCAGCACGTCCAGGCGAGCTGTGACGAGGCCCACAAGATGAAGTGAGGCTCCTTGGGAAGTGGTGGGGAAGGCCAAGGGGAGGGGGCCTGCTGGGGTCACAGACTTAATGACCAGTAAGACCAGGGGCTTGAAGAGAAATCGAACCCGGGCCGGGGGAAGAGGAGATGGGAAGGAGGCCAGAGGGCCAGAGGCCCCGCTCTGAGAGCTCGTTCTGTCCCTCAGGTTCAGCGACCTCTTCTCCCTGGCAGAGGAATACGAGGACTCTTCCACCAAACCCCCCAAGAGCCGGCGAAAAGCAGCTCTCTCCAGCCCCCGGAGTCGAAAGAATGCCACTCAGCCCCCCAATGCTGAGGAGGAGTCTGGCTCTAGCAGTGCCTCGGTGAGCCCTCGCCGGCCGGCGCAGGAAGGGAGCGTGGGGGCAGGTGGAGCTGGGCAGCAGCTGTCGGGCTGATGATCCCCTTCACTCTCCTCCAGGAGGAAGAAGACACAAAACCGAAGCCCACCAAGCGTAAGCGGAAGGGGTCCTCTGCCGTGGGGTCTGACAGTGACTGAGTCCCTGCTGCCAGCCCACCCCTAGTTGGACGACCCTCTCCTCGGTGAATCGAAGGTTTAACGGGCGGGAGACGGAAGGGGAAGCACCCTCTCTCCCCATCCCAAGACTGGGCCGGTGGGAAGTCTGATCGCTGCCATGCAGCCTCAGCCCCTCCCCCTCCCTGGGGCCTCCAGCCCATCACTGCTGCTCCACCAGCGCTGGGGTTCCCCCTGAAGCTTGAGGCTTCAGAACCTGGACTGCAGGGAGGTCCTCAGGCCCCTGCCCCTCCCCCAGCCCAAGGAGCTGTTTAAATCAAGAGGAGAAATGGCAGGGGGGCAGCTGGCCAGACGAGGATGAGAGGAAAGACTCAAGGGTGCGCGGGTCCTTTCTGATGATCCCCTTTAGGTCTTAATTTGCCCTGAACAGGCAGCTTCTAGTCGCTCTCCATACACTGGTATGAAACGGGCATTTAACCTGTGACAATGTCGGGCTGCCTGTTTGTTTCCGTGGGGCGAATGCCACAAGCGCTCAGGAAGGAACCTGAGAGGGGGGCACAGCCCCCCCTGGTATGCCCTGGAGGCACCTCACGCTGGGCCAGAGCCCGAAGGAGTCTCGGAGACAGCTCCCAGAACTGTCAAAGGTCCCATTTCCTTGGTTGTCTTCTTTGGGTTTTTTTGTGGGGTTTTCTTTGGCAGAGATAATCGTGTTTTAAAAGCTGTTTTTAAATGACAATAAAACAAGCCAGAACCTCTTTTGTGCTGGAGTTGCTGCCCCCATTTACCCTGTGCATGTACAGGTGGTCTGTTTAATTGGCACCCCTCCTGTGACTTCATAATTTCCCCCTGTTCCCTTCCTGTCCTCCCCCCCCTTTTTTTAAATATTTTTTTAAAATATATTTTATTGATTTTTTACAGAGAGGAAGGGAGAGCAATAGAGAGTTAGAAACATCAATGAGCGAGAAACAAACATCTATTAGCCGCCTCCTGCACACCCCCCACTGGGGATGTGCCCGCAGCCAAGGTACATGCCCTTGACCAGAATCGAACTTGGGACCCTTCAGTCCGCAGGCCGACGCTCTATCCACTGAGCCAAACCGGTCAGGGCTTAAAAATATTTTTAAAATTGATTTCAGAGAGGAAGGGAGAGGGAGATAGAAACATCAATGATGAGAGAGAATCATTGATTGGCTGCCTCCTGCATGCCCCCTCCTGGGGATTGAGCCGGAAACCAGGCATGTGCCCTGACCAGGAATTGAACCGTGACCTCCTGGATCATATACATAGGCAGACGCTCAACCACTGAACCACTGAGCCACACTGGTCAGGCTGCCCTCCCCTCTTCTTGTCTGAAGCCGAGAGGACTTGGCTTTGTCCCCCATCATTCTGGCTGCCACTGGCAGTGAAGGCCAGGCGGTAAGCCGAGGTCTGTCCTTAACCATCTCAAGTAGAGACTTCCAGAAGCTGGTATTTGTCATATTCCATTTAGTAAGGCCGAATGCCAACTACGGGCACGCTCCCAATTCAGATCCTGGGCACGTGGAGAGTTCGGTTACCAGGGTGGGGGCTCCCTTTCCTCCGCACTGTGTACCAGCAGGAAGAGCTCCCTGGCTGTGCCGGTCCCCTCCTGTCAGGGAGGTTGGTGGCGAGCTAGAGAGGAGCGAAGTTCAGGCTGACTGCACAGTTGCTAAGCCCGCAAGCTTGTCTCAGGATCTCCCCTCCCCAGAGCTGCTACTCCTTCCTTTGCAAGTCTGAACCGCCAGAGGCCTCTTTTCCTTCCTCTCTCCTTCCCCAGTTTTCTCTGCCCCAATTAAAACCAGGATGGAGAGCATTCACTGGCTGGCCCCAATTATTGTACCCTTGCCCAAAGGGAGGGGCCTCCGCCACGGCCCCTCCGGAAATCTGGCGGGCTGGGCCTCCACCTTTCCCCTACTTAACTTCCAGCTCCCACCCATCCCCTGGGGTTGCTGCTGCTGCTGGCAGCTGGAGGGAGGGCATGGGTCTGGCTACCTTGCCGGGACTTGCAGCACCAAACAGGCAAAGGGCCGAGTCCTTCAGTCTTTTGGGAGAGAACAGAGGCACTCTTCCATCACGGGTGCAAATGAGATAGAAGAGGGAGCGGTGGACTTTGATCCAAACGTCCTGGTGCTCAGACCTGGACGCCAAAGTCCAGCCGGATGCCTAAACCGCCCTTGACAAGGGACCTAAAATGAGACGACCCTGGGATTGAGGGAAGGCGTGAGCACCGCCCAGGACCTGGTGAGGTGCAGGCGAGTCGCCTGGAAGGAGCGAGTCCAGGGCGGAGCGTAGGGGTGGGGAGGCCGGGAGTGCGGGGGCCGGCCCCCACCTCCGCCCCTGCTCGCCTCCTGGGGGAAGGGGCGTGTGCCGGCGCACGCGCGCTCCGGGGAAGGAGCGGTCTCAGAGCCAGAAAGTGAGGCCCCAGTTTCTCGGAAGCAAGTACCAGGCAGCAGCAGCCAGAAGCGAGCGGCTGGTGCCAGCCGGCGCCGAGTCGAGGAAGAGGGCGCGATGGCTGCTCTCCTGCTGCTGCCCCTGCTGCTGCTGCTGCCGCTGCTGCTGCACTTCTGGCCACAGTGGCGCTGGTGGGCGGCAGACTTGGCCTTCGCGGTTCGCGCCCTACGATGCAAACGCGCGCTCCGAGCACGCGCCCTGGCCGCGGCCGCCGGCGACCCGCAGAGCCCCGAGGGAGGCTGCAGCCTGGCCTGGCGCCTCGCACAGCTGGCTCGCCAGCGGCCGGCGCACACCTTCCTCATCCACGGCGCGCGGCGCTTCAGCTACGCGGAGGCCGAGCGCCAGAGCAACCGGGCGGCGCGCGCCTCTTGCGGCGCGCGCCTCTTGCGCGCGCGGGGCTGGGAAGAGGGCCCCGCGGCGGCGGCGATTCTGGGGGCGCCCGGGAAGGCGAGGGGGCAGCCGAAGCCAGAGGCGCGGGCTGCGAGGAAGGGGATGGCGCGGCACGCTTGCACTGGGCCACCGTGCGCTGCTCCTGCCATGCCGGCACGGAGTTCTTGAGGGTTGGGTTGGGCTGACAAAGGCCGGGCTGCCCACGGCTTTGGTGCCCACCCCGCCTGCAGCTGCGGCGCGAGCGCGCTGGTGCTGCGCCAGGTAAGGCGCGAGCGCGCTGGTGCTGGCGCCAGGTAAGGCTGGAGCCCGCGGGGCGGGGCCCGCAGGGAAGGGGCGGGGCGGGCCAGACGGGATGGGCTCGGAAGGTACCCGAGCACGTTTCCTGGGGCTCCCAAAGGGTGGGGATGAGTCTGTGGATTTGCGAAGGGATGGAGCTGGATCAAGCCCGGGATGGACGTCCATACTCTACTCTCACCCAAGAGCAGTGCGGGGCGGGGGAAGGGGAGAGAGTGGCCACGCCAATAAGCTAAGGGGTGGGAAAGGCTTCTGGGTGGCGGTGGGCGGAGCTGTGCTTTCCTGCCGCATCCAGAGTTCCTGGAGTCCCTGGAGCCTGACCTGCCGGCCCTGAGAGCGATGGGGCTCCACCTGTGGGCTGCAGGCCCTGAAGCCCATTCCGCTGGAATTCGCGATCTGCTGGCTGAGGTCTCTGCTCAAGTGGACGCACCGGTGCCCGGATACTTATCTGCCCCCCAGAGCATAATGGACACGTGCCTGTACATCTTCACCTCTGGTACTACCGGTGAGGGCTGGTCACCATGCTCACCTCCCAGAAACTCAGGCAGAGGAAGACAAGGGTCTGGGACAGGACCTGGGACCTCGCAGCTCCCAGGCCACCCCTCCAACCCCCCGAGGAGATGGTGATCCCAGCGGCCCTGTCCTCTCTCACCAACCCTCTCATTCCGGTCATTTCTCCACCTCCCCGATCTTCCCACATTTCCAAGTCAGCCTGGCCTCCCTTCTCAGCTTCGGTTTTGCCTCTGTGCCTCTTTCTGTGGGAAACCCAGCAGGGGCGATGAGGGAGGCAGGGCTTGGCGCTGAGCCCTTCCCCTGGTCTCCCCCCAGGCCTCCCCAAGGCTGCGCGGATCAGTCACCTGAAGGTCCTGCAGTGCCAGGGCTTCTACCAGCTGTGCGGTGCCCACCAGGAGGATGTGATCTACCTGGCCCTCCCACTCTACCACATGTCCGGCTCCCTGCTGGGCATCGTGGGCTGCCTGGGCATCGGTCAGTCTCTCCTCGCCAACCCCCATGTCGTCCTCTAGCACACATTTAGGAAGCACCTGCTGTGGTGCCCCGAGTCCTTCAGGTAGAGAAGGGAGCAAGCAGGCAGGCAGGGCCTACTCCAGGAGCTCCTGGTCCAGTGGGGAAATGTCACCTGCACAGACCTGCAGGCTGAGCACTGTGGGAGGCCACGTGTTCACAGAACTCCGCATTCCAGGGACAAGGGGATGGAAGGGCTGGGAGTGTTAGCCGGGAGGCTGGGAGTGTTAGCCGGGAGGAGGCACATGGAGAGGAGGGGTGGCGAGGAAAGGGCATACCCTCTGAGGCACAGGTGGGAAAGGAAGAAGGCCAACTTGGCCAGCCCACAAGTGAGAATGCTGCTGGGGCGCTGCAAGCTAGTGTCTGGGAAGAAGGGGGCAGGGCTCCCCCGACAGCCCTTAATCTACCTCTTTCCTTCCTCCCCTTTCTCCCCACTTCTGGCAGGGGCCACAGTGGTACTGAAGTCCAAGTTCTCAGCTGGTCAGTTCTGGGAGGACTGCCAGAAGCACCGGGTGACGGTGTTCCAGTACATCGGGGAATTATGCCGATATCTCGTCAACCAGCCCCCGGTGCGTGGGCTCAGATGCGGGGGAGGGGGGGGGAGCCACCAAGGCAGGGAGATGGGCAGCTGCCAGGAGACACCGGGACAGGTGTCTGGGAGTTGGAGGCAGAGGAGGAAGCCTGGAACGATGGGCCATCCGATGCTTAGGGAATCTGAGCATCCGGTGGAAGGGTTTCTGGGGAATGACAAACAGGACTTCACTTTGGGAGCTGGCATCTTGGTGTGAAAGCTCCTGCCCCTCTCTGCACTCTCCTCAGAACCAGGCAGAACGTGGACACCAGGTCCGGCTGGCAGTGGGCAGTGGGCTGCGCCCGGACACCTGGGAGCGTTTCGTGCGGCGCTTCGGGCCCCTGCAGGTGCTGGAGACGTACGGACTGACGGAGGGCAACGTGGCCACGTTCAACTACACCGGACAGCGGGGCGCCGTGGGCCGCGCCTCCTGGCTTTACAAGGTGAGGGGAGGAAGGAGCTAGAGCCCCCCTGGGACAGCCGGGGGGTGGCTGGGAGGGCGTTCGTGCAACTGAAATGACCCAGTGCCTGGGGCTCCCTTCCCCAGCATGTCTTCCCCTTCTCTTTGATTCGCTATGATGTCACCACAGGGGAGCCATTTCGGGACACGCGGGGGCACTGTGTGGCCACATCTGCAGGTCTGTGCTGGGGGGGGGCGGTGAAGCTGGCTAGGGGTGATTGGCCTTGAAGAGTGGGGTGAGGCCGGCCGTCCCCCCTGACCCCAGCTGCTCTGCCAGGTGAGCCAGGGCTGCTGGTGGCCCCGGTGAGCCAGCAGTCTCCGTTCCTGGGCTACGCCGGGAAGCCAGAGCTGGCCCAGGGGAAGCTGCTCAAGGACGTCTTCCGGCCGGGGGACCTTTTCTTCAACACCGGGGACCTGTTGGTCTGCGATGACCAGGGCTTTCTCCGCTTCCATGATCGCACTGGGGACACCTTCAGGTATCTGTCCATCCTTCCCGACTCCGTCCAGGCATCGGCTCTCTGTAGCCCGGGCCCCCTACACCTCAGCTCCGTCATCCCCCA